CTCACTCACTCACTCACTCACTCACTCACTCACTCACTCACTCACTTAAAGCAATGCAATAGCTTTACCTATTTTTATTCCTAAATAATTTACATGAGGTTTCCATGTCAGTTTCTCATCAATAACACCCAAAAACTTTTACCTCACTGACTGGTGCATTGATATTATTATTGTATTGTTCYCTTTCTTGATGTTATCTCTAGTTTGGTCTCCTCCTTGTTCCAAGTGTGGTCTTTTTTTAAATCCTTTATCCCTTATTTCTTTCATGGCATCGTTTAAGTACTTGATCTTTTTTTTTCATCTAGCTGTCTCCTGGCATTCTGAGTGGTTGGCAAAGTAAGAATTTCATTGCTCAGGGAAACATGTCTTCATCTGTGTACTGTTTATGACAATAAACACTTTGAATCTTTGATCTGCCATTTAACCACAAAAGCTTTAATTATTCTGTGCATTTTTATTGGATAACCCCTGATTTGCATATTTACACAAATAATGTGATTTAATATCTTCTAAATAAGGTACTGAACAAGGATAATGTTGTTAAAACTTGCCTCCTACAGAACTGTTGGCAGACCAAGATGGGATCGTTGCACGTCGTTGGTAAAACAAGATGTAGGCAGTTTGCTTGCAGACATCATCTTCAGACATGGGATGCACATCGCTGTCATCAAAGCAATACCACTGTCCGTCAATGGAGTTCTTACAGTGAGCTACAACACACAACGGAACACAACAATTAAAACCATCCTCGTTCATTTTGATGGAAGTACACTCAGTTAAAACCTCACTGCTGTGTTACCTGTGTAATGCCCCCCCTGCATGGTGCCGTGGTGGTTACACACCGCATACAGGTCGTACAGGTAGTCCTCTGGGTCACGCCCCATTCCGTAAGGTCGCCTCCAAGGCGACCAGTGGGAGGGGAGACTCCAGCTGCTCTGGCTCCTCTTCACTATGTGAGGGGCCATGTCCATGCCTGTGAGCGGGAACTTCACCATGTTCTGCATCTTCACTCGTCGATCCCCATCCTGAAGGACAGAACATTCCAGCAAAGTTATATAAAGCAGGGGTTCTTAACCTTTTTGACCTCGGGGCCCAATCTGYTCAACGTAAAGTGACACGAGGCCCAGTCACACATTACCATACGTATCAAAATGATAATTATTCTAAATCTTGGTTTAAAATTGTAATTATTCTAAATCTTGGTTTAATTTGTATTGTATTTGCATTATGACTAAATTAAATACAGTACACTTACAGTTTAAAAGTAAAACTCCTGTCAAATAATCATAAGACGTGATTTTGACAAACATTTTTTTATAATGTAACCTGCCCATAACAATTATTTGAACAAATACAACAGTCAACAGACCACTCAGGCTTATCAACACAAAAGTAACATTTTTTTAACATAAACGACAACAAAAATAGACAATTCAATAAATAAAATTGTGATCATAAAATAGATA